GCTAAATTAGGGACGGCCAGCGCAGATAGCCCTCGTGTAGCTTTGCGCGAAATTCAAAACAAACACAATAGTCACATAGAATAGCAGCCTGGCCAGTTATAACTGTACTGTGAGTAGAGAATCTTATGTTTACAAATTAACTTACGTTCACTTATTTTCATTTGCTATCCGTGTTCAATTTAGTTTTTTGCTCAACAGTTTTGAACCTGTGTTTTGCAGACACTTTACACTTTCCTGTCGGACATCGGTGTACTTATATACCACAATAGCAATCGAGACTGAAACATGTGTTCACAGATAAACTGTTGTCATTACATTACTTCAATCCTGAAAACTACTTAAAGGAGACTAAAATACAATCTCGAATTTGGATCATTGGGATTTCTCTTAATTTTGTCTTAATACGTGTTAATAATATATTGTTTTTTTTGTGCTCTGAGACACTTGAAATATGTTTAGAAAATATAATAAACTATAAAATCTTATATTTATAAACAAAAATAATAGTTAAGATATCAACGTAGAATGAACAAGGACCAATAGTTTCTAACTCAATGGTAATGACTTTGCCACTCTAAGCAAGAGGGGTGTGACATTGGGTGATAACTGAATTTAACGTATTTACTTATTAAGAGATGGAGCCACACGCAAATATAACCTTGTACAGCAAATGCCTTTTTTTCTTTTTTTTTAGTATAAACTGTCAGGACTAACAGCTTAAACGATGATACGTCTGATAAGTTACCAGCAAACAGTACATATTTTTTCGGATGTATCCTGAAGAAGATGTCGCACAAGATAAGAATAAGTTTTTTTTTTTAAAGTTTACTACATTTACATTAATGCCTTGGAAAAAAAATCTACCTATGAAATTCTTATCAAAACCTACAGCTGGTGCATCTCGGAAGGATTCTGGTACATGTTGTGCCCTTGAAAAGATTCATGTACTTATCAACTGGTACAATCTTAAATAATCTCTCTAGAGTTCTAAACATACTAAACGTCTATTCTAATTAAAAAACTATTAAATCAAATAAACGTTTACAAAGATGCATAAACAAAATAGAACAGGAACTAGTTAAGATTTTTTAAAGCTGAAATCACGATTTATTGTGAGAATGGTTGTGCAGTATTTATAATGTTGACTGAGATCATCGTCTATCTCAACAACAGGCAATATTTCTTTTGTGAGAGCAATCTACAGTTTGTTGTAAGAGAAGATTAAACATTTCTAAGATGAATTCTACGTTTCGTTATACGATCAGATAGAGTAACCACTTATGAAATCGACACCTTGGCTCGTAATAAGTTCAGATAAACGGAGCTTTTTTAAGGTTAATATCCTTTGGACATTTTATAAGAACAACATAATTATTTGCTATAAGCAGAAATAATGAAATGGTTTGCTACAGGGTTAATTTTTTTGTTCCGGAATTTCGCGCAAATTTGCACAAGGGCTAACTGCGCAATTGAACCTATGTATGGATAGGAGGCAGCTAATTAACCGTACCCACCGTCAACTTTTGGGCTACTTTTATTTAATTGAATAGTGCAATTGGCCGTCACTCTTGTTATAACACACCCACGGCTTCCAAGTGGAACGCGAGCCATGAATCTTTTAATAATGCTGCTAATCGTTAGGGCACATCCGGACTTATAGTGTCAGATAAAGAAATATTTTGTAAGATCAATATCATGGAATGCTATAAGGTCAGGTAAACAAGTATTAACACGACTTATATAAGAATTTCTTTTATAAGATAAGAATATATGATAAAAATCGATAACATGGTCAATTATCAGATCAGTTAAAGAACTTTTTTGTAAGATCAATATCAACGCTTTTTTTTGTAACTAGAGATAAGAAATAATTACTAAAATTGTTATAGCTTGCTAAAAGATCAGTTAAAGTAATGTTTTATAGGATCAATACAATGGTTTATTATATAATCAAACAAGTCATTTCTGAGATGCCCCCCAGTGTGACAGCGGTATGTCTGCGGACTTACAACGCTAGAAACCTGGTTTCGATACCCGTGGTGGGCAGAGCACAGATCGCCCATTGTATAGTTTTGTGCTTAACTTCAAACAGAGAAACAAATTTATTTTAAATGCCTCCCAGTGACACAGCGGTACGTCTGCGGACTTACAACGCTAGAAACCTGGTTTCGATACCCGTGGTGGGCAGAGCACAGCTAGCCCATTGTGTAGCTTTGTGCTTAACTGAAAAAACAACACATAGTTTCATTCTAAGTAGGTAACGTGCTCTAATTGTTACCCTACACGATCATTAAACATTAACTTATAAAACTCATGTAGTCTAGCAAATACCTTTAATTAGGGTTAAGCCAACGTTCCTGCTGTCGTGTTTATTTATTTGAAGCACAAAATTAGCCACCACAATGATTAAAACCTGAATTTTAGTGTTATAAGCCTTCAAGCTTTTTGTTTGGCCACGCGAACCCCTAATGTTGTTCCTTCTTCAGTGAATCTGGCATCGCAATGTCAGTAGATACGGTCAAGTTTCTAAATATTTCATATACAAAGATATTATGTCATTAATATCTTCGAATCAATCGAATGGTGACGTGAAAGTAGAACACATTTATTAAAATAGCATTCTGTGCGATGAAACTTTCGAAATATTTATTACAAAAATAAGACTAAGGTATGTCTTTGCAAAAGTAATACCGTGGGCCATTTTGTTTCAACTACAGTACTTTTGGAAAATCCCTAAGATACATTTTATCACAGCTTCTTATTTCAAAGTCAGCTATAGTACTTTTGGAAAATCCCTAAGATACATTTTATCACAGCTTCTTATTTCAAAGTCAGCTATAGTACTTTTGGAAAATCCCTAAGATACATTTTATCACAGCTCCTTATTTCAAAGTCAGCTACAGTACTTTTGGAAAATCCCTGAGATACATTTTATTACAGTTTCTTATTTCAAAGTCAGTTATAGTACTTTTGGAAAAATCCCTGAGATACATTTTCAAAGCGAATATTTTAAATTTTGTCTATAGTCTTACAGAAATGGATTTTAATTTATTTGTTATTAAACCCAAAGCAACGCCATGGGCTATCTGTGCAGTAACCACCGCGAGTATGGAAACCCGATTTTTAGCGCCGTAAGCCCTCAGATTTATTGTTCAGCCACGGGGGTGGAGAAGTGAGAGTCTGAATTACAAGACATCAAACAAACATAAAATTTGTGGCTACAAACACTAATGAAACTGGTTAAACTTTTTATGACGGAACATTTCCAAAACTGTCAATAAGAAGTAATAATAATCGTGTTTTTTTTAATTCTCTGTGAGCATGTTGATATTTAATTAAAACAGGCACGTTGCACTCTGACGTGTATTGGTGTGAAAAAAAAAGATAAAAATCCTAATGATGCTAGAAAAGAGGCCACAACAATGCTAAAGTATAAGCCTTTTAATATATCGAATAAATTACAAAAACACACACCGAAGCTTTGTTGTAAACAAAGGTAAAATATAATGACTAAAGTTTGATATATATATATATATATAATTACGTATACTGCTAATGAGCATTGTCAGTTATATATATACAACTAACGTTGACACCTGTTCGAGTCATATTAGTACAACTGCATGTTTCTCGTTTGTTTATAAAGTTTAGTAATTAATATCACAATAATACTGCAATCAGTAAGTCAGTATTTGTGGTAAATGGCGTATTTTCTTAAACTATTATATTCCATGCCCATGCCTTGAACATAAAATGCTTTATGAATTTCTGGATGAACTGTCTTTATTTGTTGTGTATATTATATATATAAAATTGGCTCTAAATATCTATTGTTTTGTCCTGTATTAAATATGTTATTGCTGTTTGTTTATCTACATGACGAGAAAAACCACATTGTGTAACACTAACAGGAATAATGCTATTCTATTTCCCAGATATCCATTGAAATGGTTTTAAAGTAACCCAATAGAGCTAAAAATGCTCGTAAAGTTCAGCACCAAAACCAATTTATAAAGGTAATTTGTCATTCATTTTTTGTTCTAAGTTTTTTGTTTCCTCTTAATATTATTTAACAAGAGAAATGCCATATGACTTATATTCAAATGTTAAGGTTGTTTTTCTTTCTTTTTTATACATTATAGTGTCAAGCAAACAGATGTTTCTTTTGCGTTTATAGTTACTGGACTTTGACGATGCCTGAAAATTAACTTGATCTCATTTCTAGGCACGACAAGACCCGGTATTGCATTTAGATCTGGCGCATCAGCTCCCTCTGGCAGATAAACGTCAAACATCTGAATGATAGTTCCTAGACCTAGCAACAGGGTGGATTTTACTAGTCCATCGCCCAAGCACGTCCTCTTTCCTGTTCCAAACGGGAAAAAGTAGCTGGGCTTTAAGACTCGGCCCTCCTTCGTAAGAAATCTAGCCAGAAAGGGGGAAAATATAAAACATTGAACTGTTTGGTTGTATTCAGTGACAAGAACAAAATATTTGGGTATTAAAATATTTTCACGGTATTAAAAAGTAAGGCTTAAGAAGGCTTAGAATAGTGCTTAATAAGGATATTTATGTTTTATAAGTTACACTTGCTGAAAACTATGCGTTAAATTGAAACTTGGAAAAACAAATAGAAGACATTTTTGATTATATTTTAGAAGATTTTGTTTTAAGTCAAAGGAACAGAAAACTGCCGAAAAAACAATCCTCATCTAGCAAATACTTCATGATTATTTATTGCTATAAAGATAATTGCATATTTCAAAGAACAACTAGTTTGAATGGCCAATGAAAACTTACCGTTCCGGGCTGAATCTTCGAGGTTCTTTCCAGTAATCCGAATCCATGTTTAGGTCGAATGTATTGAACATAACCATAGTATTTTCGGGAACATAAAACCCTAAAAATAGATGTAATTCATTTTAATGGGAATAAGTAATCAACGAAAAGAAAAATGATTAAAATGGCTTTATTGTATTTTCTATAGAACTTCCTTAGAACCTATTTGGATTAGTTATCCTATGAATATTAAGACAGTTTATTTGAAACTGGTATTAATCATCAAAATCCTGTTTAAAGCGGTATAAAGCGATATTATCTTTTGAAATTTAGTAGACAGTTAAGGACGAAAAAAAAAAAAGATATATTATAAGGCTTATTCTAGCCTCCCGTGGAATAACGTTATCTACAAGAGAAACACTGAATATATTTATAAGATCCCTACTGATTCTTGACCTACTAACCTTGAACGCTTGTGTCCTTGGTGGCTACATGAGGGATTATTGGTGAAGAGACGACCCGCAAGACTTCCAGGGCTGTTGCCTCAGTGTATGACAAAGATAGTTTGTCCTGAAGGCATGGATGTCTGTGATTATGCGTAGCTTGAAACACCTCGGCCTGAATCCTTTCCTTCACTTCAGGGTGTCCAGCTACTAAGTAGAGTCCCCACAACCATAGATTTCCCAAAACCGAGTGCCCTCCACAAAGATCATCTACTGTAACTTCTGCATCCTCACGAGCTAGTTTACCTCCAGCTTTGCGATCTTCTTTAATATGTTTTAAAAAGATGTCAACCAGATCCCGGGGGTTATTTTCGTCTAATGTTTCTTCATGCTCATTAAATATGGTTTCCGTCAACTTTGTAACTTCGTCTGCTTTGTCTCGCAGCTCTTGTAGTCTCTTTTTATTAAATACTTTCAGCCAGGGCATAAAATCAATGGCAAAACCTTGAAAGAGCTCTCTGAAAACGACATCGTAGATCTCAACAACTTTTTGAAAAGTCGGATCTTTTGGTTCGAATCTCTTGTTACATAAATACTGATAGAAAATATTAGCGGTACAGACAAGAATGAATGGCCTGGGCTCGATCACTTGATTTTGAACAGTAAGTAAACTTGAAATCAAGTCTTGTAATTCTTTGGTGATGAAGGAATTCATTCGCTCGACACCATGAGAGGCTGATCGAGGGTGCATATAAGGAAAGGCGAGCTCACGTCGTGTTTTTTGTTTCGGTGACCAATCACACAAAGCAACTGCTGTTTGAATAGGAATAAGATTAAATTAATAATCCATCTAAATTAACAGTTGTTGATCTCAGACCAGTAACCCATTATAGTTAATCTTAGCGAAAACTGGCAACAAAATGATATCCAAACGAAATAATGTATAAAAGTTTGCACTGCATTATATAATATAACCGAATAAATATAAAGTGTAATCAGTCTTATATAGATAATTATATACCCCGAAGATTCCAATTTTAAAAGGCCTAGGAAACCAAATGCAATTATAAAAATAACTTCACATACCACTACAATTCGTCCAAATCATCATAACTTTACAGAAAGCTCTATGTACTTTATTGAAAATGGTGAATAAAAAAGTGCACGTAATGTAATTCGTTTTCATTTGGTAACATGGATGATCTATTTTTTAATAAAGTGTTATTTGAATTGTTTTACTGAAAGAAAAAGAATAAAGTTGCTTTTACATCAAACCTTTACAGAGATATACTCAAACCTTTTACAGAGATATAGTTTGTTACGAATTTCGCGCAAAGCTACACGAGTTCTATGTGCGCTAGCCGTCCCTAATTAGCAGTGTAAGACTAGAGGAAAGACAGCTAGTCATCACCACCCACCGCCAACTCTTGGGCTACTCTTTTACCAACGAATAGTGGGATTGACCCTCACATTATAACGCCCCACGGCTGAAAGGGCGAGCATGTTTGGCGTGACTGGGATTCGAAACCGCGACCCGCATATTGCGAGTCGAGTGCCCTAACCACCTGGCCATGCCGGGCCTGGAGATATATTAAAGATGCAGGTATCGCTTCCGACGAAGAGGTATTTGAAACTGACGATGTACGCAGACTGAAGAAACTTCGAAGTTGAATAATTTCCGACGTTACACTTTTTAATTGCCCCCTTCCCCAGTGGCACAGCGGTATGTCTGCGGACTTACAATGCTAGAAATCAGATTAACTTACAAACACTTTTAATTTTAAGCCAATTCAAGGTAGACAAGTTATGTTAGTAAACACGCACGCAGACGTAACAAGCAACACCACTTAATGAGGATATATTAAGGACATGTAAATGTATGTTTTCTGTAAAAATGGTTACTTTTCTTATTTATAAATCAATGTTTTGCAAAGATTAGTTATTTTGCGATTTTCTTTTCGAAATCTTTTTGTAAACCTCTTAAAAGCTTCTTTTGTTTTTACACTTTTCAGAAAAATCTGACAAAAAATTGCATCATTAATAATGGGGAAACTTGCAGCTTAAGGCTCAGATTCATACAGACAATTATTGATAATCAAGGTAAATTATCGTTATAATATTAAAAATGTTTGTAATAACAAACTTTCGTCTTAACAAAATGAGTATTTGGATAAATTATAATTCTCCGGCAAGTTTAAGTTTTTTAGCTAACTAATAAAGCATTGACAAACATGTACAGATCTGTTTGTTTGAAGTTAAGCACAAAGCTACACTATGGGCTATCTGTGCTCTGCCCACCACGGATATCGAAACCCGTATTCTAGCGTTGTAAGTCCGCAGACATACCGCTGTGCCACTGGAGGGCTGTACAGATCTGATTTTCATAGAAAAACAGCTCCTGTTAGGTCTTTTAATAATAATTATTATTATTATTATATATATATATATTAATATTGCTTTTGATCACACCTCTCTTGTTCTATTTATAATTTTAGACCCTGCAGTTGAACTCGTGTTCGAACTTACAGATGTTTATTACATGTTGTACCTTCCCATATTCATTATCGATGTACACGGACATAAAAAAACTGTTATTATTCAAATTGGTATTTAGAGAACGATATAGAAAAGAACAAAAGAAAACAACAATTGTTCTGTATATGTGGTTGGTTTGTAAAGTTATTATTATTATTTGGACAGTCGTATATATGTTTAAGAATACCCCAAACTCCCGCCCTCATACAATAAATCAACTGAAATCAATCATGAAAGTATGTACTAACAATATACGCCTTATATGATGTGTGGCCATCTACTAAAAAAAACGGCAAAAATATACAAACATATCTTTGATCTAATGTTAACGTCGGAATTGAATTCAAACTAATATTAGGATTATTAGGCCTACCATTTCATTAAACAACCTTTTAACCAAAGGTTGTTTATATTAATGGAAAGCAAAATGTTCTGGCTTAACTGAAAAATAAATATATTGTTTCTATCTGAGAGCACAAAAAAAGATAAACTTACAAAAGTTTCTGTCTCCACGAAAAATAGCATGGAAACGTAGAAAATTGGGTCTGTTGGCGAAGTCCTTGCTTTTACTGACAAGGACCTCTCTCATAGCGGCCAGAGAGCTGACCACCACGCAGCGCCGAGAACCCAGAGTCACACCATATACATCGCCATACTTTTTCCGTAGAGCAGAGAACCCATCCCAGGGGTTATCGTAGCGGCCAATAATGTGTGAAGAGCCGAGAACTGGTAGTCCTCGTGGTCCAGGAAGAACTTGAAGATCGGAGGCTAGTCGGAATTTTTGTCTTCTGATGTGAAGCACCAAGGAAATGGCAGCTAGGATTGTAAAAACAGCAGACAAGGCGATAGTAACTGGAGCTAATGTGTATAGAATCATTCCACCGACTTCGAGATTTCTATAAGCTTCGAAACAGTGATAACTTAAATGTAGTTCAACATAGTTTTCTTCGTGTCTGCGCTGAGTGAGAAGGACAAGAGTATTTATACTTCAGTGAGCACACACTGCCTACTGTATCACTCTCGTTTCTTCCTAGCCCAGCCCACAACTAGCCCCTCCTCTCTTGGGGCAGATCATCTAGGCTGCATTGACCATGCACCTAGAAGCGACACTAAGAATTATATAAGCCTGAAGGAGACCATTAACCAATAACTATCTGCTCTGAAGCCACATGAATACGCACGATACAGATCCTAAAAATATTTATAGATATATTTATTAATATTCGATCTGAATTAAAAACATTAAAGTGCGAAAGAAAAATGTCAACGAATGAGTAACTTTTGTATGTTTCTTTCAATTTCTTTAAACCCTATTTATAAAACCCTAATATTTTACAAAACTAAACTAATATTGTTTTTTTATTTTTAATCTGTATCATAAACGTTTACGTGTGTTTGTAGTTAAACACAAAGCTACATAAAAGGTCATCTGTGCTGTGCCAACTACGGCTATCGAAACCCGATTTTTAGGGTTATAAGTTCGTAGACTTGCCGCTGTGACACTGAGGGACACGTTTATGTTCAGATAACTATTTTTTCAAGAATAATAACGTTGAAGTTAACCAATAGTAAACTATTCACATGTCTATAGATTTATTATAAACATCCCTTCATTAACCAACATTTATATATCATTATAAGTAATAAAACAAATATATATGTTCAATCTCCTGGTGCTGGAGGCCGGTACTAAACCTAAAAGAGTAGTAATTACAAGCTATTTTAATGTTTCAGGTATAATTTCAAAATAAACAGCTCTTACGAAGACATTGTAACACACAATATCTAGATATTTTTATAATGTTTGTTTGTAATTAAGCACAAAGCTACACAATGGTCTATCTGTGCTCTGCCCACCACGGGTATCT